ACAACTTCACACTTGACACCCGGGGTTGCATATCCAAATATTTTCCATTATTGACATTGTTTTTTTTTTTTGTTTTTTTTTTTAAAATGACCAGTCTTAATTTTGACAGCAAATACTGATTTAGTCTTAGTCTTTTGAATAACATACTATTTAGTTTTAGTCTTATTTTAGTCATCTGAAATCTTTTAGTCTTAGTCTAGTTTTAGTGGACTAAATATCATAAGTGCTTTAGTCTTAGTTTAGTCTTTTAGTCTTAGTTGACTAAATGTTTCTCCAGAATTTCCAGTCATTGGAAGTATCCATCAATCTGTTATGGAATGGTATCAAAGTTTGAATACACAATTCAGACACAGATTTAACAGTTGTAATATGAATCATGTATTTTATTTTATTCTTAATGATAAAAAAAGAAAAAAAAGAGTAGTTCTGATTGGATCTCTTCTCCATTAGTCCCTCCTTAACATTTTCGTCTAGTTTTAGTCACTGACTAAAATATCAATTATATTTAGTCTTAGTCATCTGACTTTTTAGTTAGTTTTCATCAGTGAAAAAGGTTAGTCGACTAATATTTTTTGTCATAGTCTTAGTCGACGAAATTGACACTGACAATGACATCCATCATTTTGACAGTTCTGTAGCATCACGCAGGCAGACATACAGACCCACACACACAATTCTGATTTTCAAAATAAATCAAAAATATATTAACTTTATTGGAACAGGGTAGTCAGGAGGTGGCATGTTTTGGTGATGGAGAAGGGGGCAGGAGATGATGGAGGAGTTGGAGCAGGAGGAGGTGGGTTAGTAAAGCCGATGGAGGAGGAGGAGGAGGTGGTGGTGGTGGTGACGGTAGTTCATTCAAAATGAACGATGCAGTGCTGCACAGCATCCCAGTACTGGTCTAGTGTCCTTACACCTCTGCGGTATTGCTGCCGCAGCTGCTGAAGCCTCTCCTCCAGCCTCTTCCACTTCCTCCACTGTTGGGGTGCAGGGTCCCCACGCTCGTCTAAATCACACCTGGTCTCCACCAACCGCTGCTCATCCTTGAGCCGGCGTATGAACACCCAGAGTGACGGGTGGCGCCGCTCCATTCCAGCGTTCCATCTGTGATGGAAAGCTGAAATAATCATAGATGTGTAAGAACTACATGCAGCACACATGCACACGGCCCATTGACATTATTTCATACATTGCTCTGTGAAATTAAGCTAATGGAACCTTACCTTCCACGAGGTTGTTGGTCCTATTATCAGACCACCGGCCATAGACTGCATCGTCACCAGCATGTGATTCAATGAAATGAATGAGTTAGTTGCTGCGCAAGCAGTGAAATTTAGCAGTAAACACAGGAGAGAGGAAGTAGCTAGCTAAGATGAAAAGTCAACATGGCGAAGCAAAGCAGCTTATTTACATGTAAATTTACTAAGAAACGCTGCGAGGAGCAGGAAATTCCTGTGTCCATTTCAAGTAACGTTACGAGTGCTGGTTTACCGTCCACCTCAGCCGCCCTCTCTCCATCAAGTCCTCCTCCTCCCATAACTAACCCCCCACACCAGCAAGGCAAGTAAAGTTAACGTTAGTGTCTGTCTGCACATTTTCTAGAGGAAAAAATAATATAAGTAGACAGATAACTTATGCTAGCGTTTTATGTTTTCCCTGTCGTGCTGTGTTTTATGAATAAATGGAGAAGACCCTCTAAAGATATAATTCCGTTTCAGTCTTTTTTGTGTGCTGGGAACGTTCAATAAAGATATGAAGTTAGTTCTACTTCTATGGTGTATGTCATTGTCCACTTCAGCACTGAGCTGAGGACAGCGACACAAGGGAGCCACACCGGTGCACCGGCGTCGCTGTCCTCAATGCCGCAGAAAAGCGCTGAAGCGGAGATAAAGGGGAACCCGTCTTTTGCTTATTTTAACTGGCCCATCCAGTTTTCTGGAGGCCCACCCAAAATCAAAATCCTGGCGCCGCTACTGCCGTGGATGTTTATACATTTGGAAATCTTTTTCTACTTTTTTTTTGCTTAAATCTTTCAACCAACTCCTACTCAGATTATACATACCAAATATTCATTGTGGGTGTGTGTGTGTGTGTGTATGTGTGGGAGTGTGTGTGTGTGAGAGAGAGAGAGAGAGAGAGAGAGAGAGAGAGAGAGAGAGAGAAAGAAAACAGTAGTCACCTTGCAGCAACCTGCAGCTCATAATTTGCATTTTTTTTAGCTACACAATTACACATGCACACACACACATACACACACACACACACAAACTCACTCTCACACACACAATCTTTTTTTAGTAGCTATACAGCCACAGCCTCCAGACATCCATATCAACACTAATATAACATTTATTTTATTTTCTTTGCAACAATGGCTTGCAAACCTCAATATGATTATAATATGATTGTTGTCACATATGTATACTATCAGATATTAATATATACTTATCATATTGTACCACAGTAGCCAGAATTATAATTATAATATTATTACTTTAAGTAATGTTGTTGTAAGCTGTTAACATTATCGTCTGTCCTGCATCTCTCTCTCTCTCTCTCCTCTCTCTCTTTCTCTTTCTCTTTCTCTGTCTCCCCTTCTGTCTCATTGTGTCATACAGATTACCGTTAATGTATTATGTTGATCTGTTCTGTGTGTCATCTATTGCACGTCTGTCGTCCTGGAAGAGGGATCCCTTCTCAGTTGCTCTTCCTGGGGTTTCAACCATTTTTTCCCCTGTTAAAGGGAGTTTTTCCTTATCTGCTGTGAGGGTCCTAAGGACACAGGGATGTTGTATGTTGTAAGGCCCTGTGAGGCAAATTGTGATATTAGGCTTTATACATAAAATTGATTGATTGATTGACTGATTGATTGATGTCGTCAGTAATTTGTTTTTCAGAAGCCATCAACTTCTACTCCCAAGTCATGGGTTCATTTCCAAAAATGACCTTGCATTCTATTGACATTGCATCTTTTATCGACATTTGAACTCCTACGGATAGGCTCATTCACGCTGTCTACGTGAGCTGGAGGCCGACAGCGAGGGGCCGAGGTCCCGAACAACGCTGCTCGCAGCTTTAATTTTCCATTGGTTCTTCACAGACTGTATGTGGGGAAAAAGGTAGTAATTCTCACTTTGATAAAGGGTTTTTGCATAAAATGCACTAAAATGTTAAAGTTGGTAAATACATGTCATGTTCCTTGATTGATAAAATCTTCATTTGGCCTTTTGCATCAGGGGAACACTAAACTGCACTGGTGTGTCAGTAATTTTGACCTTATATATAATAGTACAGAGCAAGCTGTGCCCTAATCGAGTACTTAGTAATGTATGACAATTAGTAATATATGTAATGCATTTAAATGTATTATGGTCAATAATTCATCATTTTAAACTAATACATTTCTTGATTCTTTGTGAGGTACTGTATGACAAAAGGTGTCTTTATCCTGGAGTCAGTGCTGAAGTGATGACTCTCAAAGTGTTCACTGCACAGATGGGAAGTCTTGTTTGGAGTCCAGTTCTGTCTTCTCGTGTTGAGTGTCCACTGGTCCAGTCTGTCTGGGTCACCTAGAGGAAAACTTGACACAGACAAATGGTTATTAAAAGTAATATATGTGTTAGGTTACCTGCTTCACAGACTCCTTTACATGCAAACAATACAACTTAAATTATTTCAATGTTCAACAGATCATAATCAATTTATTTTAGCAAAACAAAAAGGTGGTGGCCATAACAGTCTAAGGGACAAACAAAAATAGCAATAACAAATCAGAGCAGGTGGCAACCAATGTACAACAAAATAAATAAAACAGAATTAGTGTACATACGTACAAGTCTTTGAAGAGAAGAAAAAAAACAAATCAAGAGAAACTTGATTGCTACAGGCCTACATCCTACACTAATCTTAATATTTTTCATGTGACAGTCAAATGTCACATTGGTTGTTTTTTTTTTTTTATTACGTTACACACCTTATTGTAATTTCACACAGTTTGCCACTTTTTAATTTACATAACGTGACACAAGTATAGCCTTAATGTTACGGTAATGTTACACAAATCATATGACAAATTTAACGTTAACATTGCATAACGTTAGCTAACTTACGTGGTCGACCTTTATTTTCAAACCTCACACAGACGCCTTTGTTCAAAATAATCTCTCCCTAAAAGCCTAAATCCTAACACTACTCTGTTAGGTTCTGACTTCGATGCATCCCGGATTGGCGTCTTGCTCGAAGGCTAACCGTTAGCTGGCTAGTTAGCTAGTTAACGAGCTAAGCTTGTTTTGTATTAATGTTATATTGTCTGTTGCTCTGTAACTTGATGTGGATGTTGCTGCTGTGATACATTACAGGTCGCACTTGAAAATGAGACCTCCGGTCTTGACGTGATTTTACATGTCCTAAATAAAGGCTTAATAAGCTTAATAAGCTAAAAAGCTGACAAGCTAGGTGGTGACCGCAGACACCAATACCCGCTAATTAGTGCTAACATGTAAACATAAATAAAATAACACTACAATTTCCGAATTGCACTTACCGAAAAACAGGGAGCACAGACTTCTTGGACGGTCTGTTGGTACAATTAATCGAACAGCAAGCCATATTACTCCAATATTTGCCTGAAAAATATATCCAAACGGCACAAACATGGCTGGGAGGACAGGTTCAAGGCCTTGAACATGGACACGAATTAGCTGAGATGATGCTGAGCAGGCAGCCGAGTCTGAGCTCAGCTCCGCACAGCAGAGCCAGTGGCTAGTTAGCATGCTAGTTAGCCACCCGTGATGGTGCCACCTGTCACTCAAAGTGACCACGCTCTTAATTATGCGCAATTTTAAGCAAGCTTGATTAAAAGAATTATGATCGTATTTTATTTCCCGTCTTGTGTTTAATAAACACATAATAGAATATCAGATAAATGCTCGTTTTGTAGTATGTAATAAGGGCATATGGTGACAGTTGTAGTGACATCAGAACAAAATGTGTTTCCACAGGATCAAATGTAGCTATCAAACTGGAGAGTGTAGCTACCAGACCAGCACTGGTGAAGGATGTCCGGCAGCTCTCCCCACAGCACCAGACCTTCTCTCTGGAGGCATTTCACTCCCTCATGTTGCACTTTGCCCCCAAGCACACCAGCTTCTCCTTTCTTGGGATGTACAGTAGGTACATAGTATGTGATGTGAAGAAAATATTTTTCTTTTTCAGATCCCTGCTCCCACCTATTGTGTCTCTGACCCTGTGCGCAGCAGTTTTTCATCTTTCTTTGTATATGTGTGTGTTTGTGTCTTTACATCTTCCTCTCTGCTCTTACTCCAGTGCAGTGGCTCTTCCTTATCAGTGTTGACCTTGCTGTTTTCTCTCGTCATTATTATTATTGTTGCCTATGACACTGTTTAATATTTCTTTCATTTTACTTTTTCTACAGGCTTCTCTTGGCAGCCCTGCATTACAACAACAATGGCAGCAGAGAGATTGCCCGGACCAGTGATGGTGAGGCCTGTTTTGCCGTTTCATACCCAAGGTTCCGCAAAGGTGACTGCTTTGTCCGTCCCGTCAAGGAGAAGCCATCATACGGTTAGCAGCTTGTCAGTCCCTAAATATTATTAAGTGAGCTGGTTCATGAGTCAACCATGTCACTGAATTTGTCTCCTTTTGCTAGCATATGCATCAGCCCTCATGGAGTCTCTGAGAGTGGGATACTCCAGGTCGCCACAGGCTCTACGTGAGAAGAGTGCTCTGTTGTCCTCAGCCACACCTGCCCCCCTTTGCAGATCCTTCCAGCATATCAACAAGGATGAAGCCATTGGCCAGCATAGTGCACGACAGTTGTGCTTCAGCACAGGACATTAATACAGATGCTATTATACTTTTTATTTTACGTCATCTGTGTGTTTGGAAACTTATTTTGTATTGATATATTCTTGCACTGGAAACTAGCTCTTAGAGCGGCTGCCAATAATGTGTTAACATTAGGGGTTTTTTTTGTCTATTTGCTGCCATTGTTGTAAGGTAAGTGGTTTAGAGGGCTGTGTGACATCAGAAATCGTGACTGGGAGTACGTCGATCTGGTACGAGTTCAGTGGGAAGTGGGAAGTTACGAGTTTGACTGCCATTCCAGTGCACGTTCACGGGTAGAAAGTTGTAAAAACAGGAGTTACGACACCAGAAGATTCTATACTTTTGTCTATGTGACACACCACATAATTGATTCTTATTGAAGTCACATGAATGAAAGTGTAGTGCAGCTGCTGAACAGTGCACACCCTAGTGTCTCACCTGTACAGAGCAGTTTACATGATATCTAATGCATTTGTGTTTAGACAAAAGCAGTGTTGGGCAGTAACATATTACACATTATTCTAAACTTTACCCAGCAACGAGTAAAGGGATAACATTTTCCAAAGCAGTATTTACATTACAGTTACTAAGTCAGGTAACTGAGCTACTTTGAGGTACTTTGTTACCAGAAAGTAATTTGTTTTTGTCCTAATAATGTCACGACCCGTCCTCCGTGATGCTGTGTGTGTGTGTCTGTGTGTGTGTGTGTGTGTGCTTTTGTTTTTGTTTTTTCAGTCATTTGAGTGAGTGGGTGTATGGCTGGTGTGTTTTTGTTCTTGTCTCTCTACCTGTTCTCTCCCTCCCCTCTCTTCTCTCAATCAACACACCGGCCACCCAGCAGTAATCAACACACCGGTCTGCTATCAAGCCATCATCCTCACCTTCAAGTATCCCGCAGCAACAGTCAGTCTCCGCTGGATCGTTGCCGTTTACGGTAGTACGTCTAGCTCCTAGTTTGCTGTTTTGTGCCCAGCTTAGCCAGCTTTGCCTGCTTTTGTTTTTTCCCACTGGAACTAATAATTGTTTCTGTCCAGGATCTCCTGCTGCCAGCCACGCCACACCGGACCCCCTCTGCCCCATACTCCGCCGTCATCGCCTGCCAGCTGATACCCCCCTTTGACTCAATAAACATTGTAAACTTACCTGACCTTGTCCGCCTGCTGCATTTGGGTCCAGCCCGATCGAGACGTGACAAATAAGGCTTAACAATAATGATGCCAACGTGTTGCTCTGAGATTGACAGAAGTCGGTGGTGTCATGCAACATTATTTGTCTTGGTACAACCATTTGTCTTTGCTGCGCATAATACTGTATGTGTAATTGTTCATTCATATTCTGATAAAATTGACTCTGTTACAAGAGAAGTTGGCTAAACAAATGCACTTTTTTCATATGGGGCTTACATTATATTGTAAAGTAACGAGTTAAGTAATCACTTTTGATAACAAATAAATAATTGTTTTACTCTTTTGAGGAGTAATAATCAATAAGTAACTGCCGGGAATTACTTTTTCTGAATAACTTGCCCAATACCGGACAGAAGACACTTTGTGAATGTGATTTTCGAATCTGTTTATTAATTACCCCCCAAATGAGGCCATTCAAAGCCCTTGTAAGTCCCCCCTTTCTCTGGGAACTGTCTCCTGATGGCAGAGACGATGCAGGACGGAATGGGCTTCCTTATGTGTCTGCCCAGAACTCCATAGGCTGTGTAGCGGTATTGCCTGGGGAATGGGATAGGGACACATTCTAAAATCTGACAATTAAAAAAATAAATAAATACGGTAACGGTGTACATTGTTTTTGCCCTACACTTACTCATGTCTGGTGGCGTCCAGAGGACCATGCTCCTGCCTAAAATTGAGGTAGGCTATTTGGAGCACAAACGGGTTCAGGCAGCATGCCTCAAAGCCTGGATGTTGCGTCAGGCATGTAGTGTCCTCGGGTCTGGGGGTCAGATTCTCCACCAGGGCCCAGAAGGAAAGAACCTCCCTGCAGCACATGCTCTCCACAGTAGAGGGCATAGCCTGGCATTTCCCACACAAGCACCTATCAAATAAAACGTGTATCACTAAACTAAACGCCCTAATGTCTCACCTGTACAGAGCAACATTGCATATTTTCTAATGTAGTTTACATGATATCTGATGCGTTTGTGTTTAGGCAAAAGCAGTGTTCGGCAGTAACATATTACACATTACTCTAATGTCACATTGTAAAAGGTTATTGCCATGCATCAGACTATAACAAAACTACAATTTGAAAACCGGTGTCCTGCCGAATCCAACTCCATTTCGCGTGCCGTTCAGTCTGCGACAAAACGAGTGGAGCAGGCTAGTTCTTCCTCATAGTACACCACCTCGGCTTGAGTCTGCACTATTACCACATTATACCGGGTTGTCTCAGTCTTCTCTTATCAGTTTTGCATAATGGCAATGCAAAGTCACATTTGCTCTCTGAAGTCAGTGGCAAGCTGCACTTGCATTGCTCAGGCGCCAGTGATCAGGCACATGAAACGGTAGGTTCATACACTGTTATTGACTATATGGATTATTCTATTATATTATTTCCTTCCATTGTTAATATAAATGGTCAATGTTGGTGGCCCCTATTGATTTTTAAAATGTGAACACAAAGTTAGATCTTGCTAGCTAGTACTAGCTAGCCTGGCCACTCACCAGGACACCTGCCTAGCTCTCCATTCATTCGCCTCACACCACAACTCTATATCTCTCCTCTGACCGTCATTTCTCCTAACCCTAGGCTGCCCTGGCTCCCTTTGTTGTCTGGCTGGCTCAAAGTTGTAAGGTTGTGGCCGATCATATGTCCCGGCATAAATATTTACAACCTCTTCACTGTCAAAGCTAGCCATTGTCTCATTGTTTTACTGTATGTCTACTGTACTTGGAATTCAGGACTCCCCCATGCTACGTCACTTCCGGTTAAGCGATTTTATAAATACGGAAGTAACAAATACGAGTCCCAAAGTTACAGTTGTGTATATTTTTTTAATGACAATCGAGTTCCTACACCATTTTCCTACACATTGACTCAAAGTGACCTCCAACCTGAAATATTCACTTTAAGTCTAGTCTTAAATATGGAGACGGTGTCTGCCTCCCGGACCACGAGTAACCCTTCATTCTCAGAGCGCAGTGTTCTGGTGGGATAATATGGCACCATGAGCTTTCTAAGATATGATGGAGCCTGACCATTTAGAGCTTTGTAACTTAACAGTAGGATTTTAAATTCAGTTCTGGATTTTACTGGGAGCCAGTGCAGAGAAGCTAAAACAGGAGAAATATGGTCTCGTTTCTTAGTTCCTGTCAGTACACGTGCCGCTGCATTCTGAATTAGCTGGAGAGTTTTTAAAGACTTACTAGAGCTACCTGATAATAGTAATCCAGCCTAGAGGTAACAAAAGCGTGGACCAATTTTTCTGCATCTTTTAGGGTCAGGATAGGCCTAATTTTCACAATATCATGCAGATGAAAAAATGCAGTCTGTGAGGTTTGTTTTAAATGAGAATTAAAAGACAAATCTTGATCAAATATTACTCCGAGGTTTCTAACAGTAGTGCTAGAGGCCAGAGCAATGCCATCTAGAGAAACTATGTCATCAGATAAAGAGTCTCTGAGCTGTTTGGGACCAAGAACAATAACTTCAGTTTTGTCTGAATTTAACATCAGGAAATTGGTGCTCATCCAGGTTTTTATGTCTTTAAGGCAGTTATGAAGTTTAGTTAATTGATTACTTTCTTCTGGCTTCATCAATAAATACAACTGTGTATCATCCGCATAACAACGGAAATTTACAGAGTGATTTCTAATGATGTAACCTAAAGGAAGCATATATAGAGTAAATAGAATTGGTCCGAACCTTGCAGAACTCCAAAACAAACTTTAGTATGATTCATCGCGAACATGAACAAACTGAAAATGATCAGATAAATAAGATTTAAACCAGCTTAGTGCAGAACCTTTTAGGCCAATTAAGTGTTCCAGTCTCTGTAGCAGAATTTGATGGTCAATAGTGTCAAACGCCGCACTAAGATCTAATAAAACAAGTACAGACCGAGTCCTTTGTCTGAAGCAATCAGAAGGTCATTTGTAATTTTAACTAGTGCTGTCTCAGTGCTATGATGCACTCTAAATCCTGACTGAAATTCCTCAAATAAATTATTATCATGGAGAAAATCACACAGCTGGTCTGCAACTACTTTCTCAAGGATGAAAGGGAAGATTAGATAACAACAACGAAAAGCTATTTATAGAAAAGTTATGGCTCACTAGCATAAGCACTAATAACGCTGCTAGATTGAATGTTTATGATAAAGTGGATCTGTAAGTAACGTAATATGAGGCAAAATTAAATGTGTGAGCTATCTTTATACAGATAATGTCTCTCTAATTTAATTTCTACAATCTGGTTTCAATTCACCACCTTTCCATTTGTGTCGCCAATTTCCCCTGTCTACAAAATGTTTGTATACATGGCTAGAGATTCTTTACAGGTGCGCACATTCTCCAGTCAGTTATCTTTTTTAAATTTATTTATTTATTTTTTTAGATCACAACTTTTGCGTGGGAAGTGGCATACGCCTCTTTCAGACCTCATTTTGTGCGTACACAATGTTTAAAAATGTGACCCCAGGACTTTCTCCATGTGCTTGTAATCTTGTGAACTCTTTGCTTTTAAGGTATGTCATCACCATGTGTTATTTCCTAAACCTAACCACAGTGACTTTATGTTTGGTACGTAACGTCATCCATGGAACACTAATTTGAAGGATATCATACAAACCGTTGCATTTATGCATTTTCACAGGATATTATATGAAGCACGCTGAGAATAATTTTTTTGGAGGAAAACATCCAAACAGTGCATAGAACAGCCTGCCCTCTGATATCACAACAGTCTCACAGAAATACTTGAAGCTGACAAGACGTCTTAATGCATTACGTGGGGGTGGGCAAGAAATGTGTTAAAATTATGTGCTGGCATCCATAAAAAACACCAATGCAAAGTCTATTACAAATGGTCACAGTTTTGTTGAAAAACAGTCACAGTTTGGTAAGGTTTAGGGATAAAGACAGGAAGGTTTAGAGACCAAAAGATACTTAGTTAAAGATTGAGGTTTTAGTTACAATAACTACATATGGGACATAAGATGTCCCTCTTCCCAGCAATGCTTTCCAGCTCCTCCTGGGGGACCAAGGTGTTCCCAGGCCAGATGAGATATATAATCCCTCCAGTGTGTTCTGGGTCTTCCCCAGGGCACTCTACCTGTGGGACATGCCCAGAACACCTCTAACGCGAGACGCCCAGGAGGCATCCTGATCAGATGCCCAAACCACCCCAACTGACCCCTTTCAGCATGAAGGAGCAGCGGCTCTACTGTGAGCTCCCTCCAGATGTCTGCGCTCCTCACCCTATCTCCACACATGCATGCAGATACATGAATTCACCTGCTCATGCGCAAAGTATTTACTGTATATTTTATTTCATACAGAAAATATTTATCTTGGGACAATTTTTATTTTTCTCTGCTGAGAAAAAACAAACAAACAAACAAAACAAACATACAAAAAAACAAAAACGTGCCAGCATGGATCCATTCTCAAGCTGTTGAAATGCAACACTTGGGCAGCGACTTGCAACATCAGGTATCAACGAAAAAAGGCATTGTTTAACCTCGGCATGATACGTGGCCGGTTGCAGTTATAATTTAACAGCGCTAGACGGCATCAGGGGGAAACGTGACAGGACAAGGAGGAAAGTTAAGGCAGCGAAAGTCCGAGTGGGGTGGGCGGGGTGGTCGATGGATCCAACAAACACCGACTTTCACCCGAGAGAGCAAGAGAGATTCTTAAGCCCAACCCTGTTCTTTTTTTCCTAAACCTAACCACTTCCTTTTGTTGCCTAAACGTAACCAGGTGTTTTTGTTGCCTAAACCCAACCATGTGTTTTTTGTTGAAGGAAAAAAAGTCAATTTGTTGTTGTACCAACGTAGTACATTTATTTTTAAAGAGATTCTATGTAAACCTTAAATTTCCTGTGAAAATGGAGGTGTATCTTGAAAGAAGAGAACTTGACATGATGTCCCAGCACATCAACAACCAACGCACGCAGGTTACCTTGC